TTCATTTCATGTGACTCTTGTTGAAACCAAGGGCTTTGCCTATTTCTACTGTATTATCCCTTTGGAGAGTAGAGTGCCCGTGGATGGTGCCTGGGGAAGATAGGGGAGATGGGTGATGCTGGCGAATCCAGCTTGAGTGGATTGTTTCATTCATTAATTCGGTCAATCTACATTTCTTTAGCCCCTGTTATGTGTTGGCCACTGTGCTGGGCATTGGGATGACACAGATGGACAATGTGCCTTTTCTTAAGAGACTCACAGTACTGCAGTAAGGAGGAATCCTTTTGAATATACAACAAGACCATGGTGTGGTGAAGACACTGGATAGGATTAGTGCGTCAACCAAAGTCTAAGGCATTGGTTCTCAGACTTTGGCCTGTCAGAAGCATCTGCAGGACGTGGGGAAATCCAGAGTGTGGGCCCCATTGTGCAGCCCTGATTCAGTACGTGAGGTTTGAGAATTTGTATTTCCACCAAGCTCCAGGATAAGTAAGAATTCCCCAGGCAACAGGTGGAGATATATTTTTAGACTAGGAAAAAGAAAAAAAAAATCTCCCATCCTGCAGATATGGAGGGGAGGGAGGATATACTCTTTGGGACTCCTTTGGATGTGAAACACATTTATCCAAGCAGGATTCCCCCTGGCCACTGAAACAAATAGCGTTGTAGGTTCAAACTATGCAATTTGAAGTGTTCCCATAGGTCTGTGGCTGTGCAGGATAAAATTACAGAGTGTTCAGAATGAAAGAGATATGGATCCCTCCCCAGTCATTGCTGATGACAAATTAGGATAAGGTGCTCAGAGTGGCTTGTCTAGCATCTCACTGCCATGAACAGCAGAGACAGGAGAATAGACCAAGTTTCTACTCCTGCCCCTGGGTTCTTTCCCAAAACTCTGCTACTTCCTTACCCTTTCTGATTTCTTGGGGTCTTCTGAGCACCTATTTCCTAAGCAAGTTTTACTGTTCCAGGGCCTCCACTCTGCCCTGCAGGCAGCTAGGAAAGGGTTAACTTTTGTTGGACTGGAGGCCTGAGCCAAGTACAGGGTGTCCATTGTGCGCCTCCCCCTCAGGAGGAGTCCCTGATTGCTGGAATGTGACAGGGCAAAGCATTTTCACCTTGCTTTGGCTTCCTCAGCTCTGAGTGTGTGCGTGCGTGCGTGTGCTCACACCGGTGTGTTGGCAGGGTCCCATCACAAGAGGACTGGCAGTTGTCTCCCAGGCCCACCCCAAGATGGAACTGTGAATTTCCGAAGGCAGGTATGTGCTGGGGAGAAGGCAGAAGGAGAACAACAGCTTTGTGTGCTGCCAAAGTAAACAGACAGGTTAGGTTTCTTTGCTCTTTGCTTTTGAAAGCTTTTCTATTTTATTTTCTAAGGTGAGGGGCTCATGTAGACCCGGGCTGGATTCTTATCCTCAGGATAGGCAGGGAATTTGGCAGGGACTGCCTGGCTGGGTGGAGCTATGGTTGGAGAGGTTGGAACCATAGGACTTTGAATAGCTGTCAGGGGGCAAATTCATTTTCATTCAGAAGGAACTTCCTGAAACACTCAAAGTGCCAGCCCCTCACTGGGTGCTGAAGGGAAGGTGAGCATGATATAGTCACAGTTGGTCTGAGCTTGAGAATGAATTGCAGTGGAGTTACAAAAATAAGATTTGCATGTTCAAAACACCTAGAAGACGATGCGAGACTGGTATTTAGTGGCAAAGTATACAGCTGGGGGCAAGGTCAGTCAGGCCAGCGAGAGAGAGCTGTGGCTCAGAGTTGGCAAAATTTTGCCATTGAGAACTGAAGGTGTGAGCATGACCTGAAAATACAAGAGTGCTTGCAAATTTTTCATTTGCTCGTTCATTCCTTCATGCAGCAGGCATATGCCAGGTGTGGCATGCAGCAGTGAAAGGGGATGTAAGAACTTATAAGAACTCTGTGCATGTAATGTTGTTGTGGAGACAGGTTTGAGTTGAGTACACAGTGCTAGTTGGTGGCTAATGAGCTCTGAGGCTGGCCTCTTATAGTGAGACTAGTCTAGAAGGTCTGGAATGGATTCGTTATCAATGGTTAGGATGATTTGAAACTGCATCGTTGTTTTATTTGTAGTATTTACTGTGAAAAACTCCCACTGCCCTGCTTCTGGTCCCAATCAATCAGAATCAGATTTCAGCAAGGGACCACATTTTCCTATGGCTCCTCTGTCATAACTATCCTGTTCTCTTAATTGTGGCATGTGGATAGTCTTTCTAAAGAATAGCTTTGATATTGTTCCTTCTTCCCTCCTGACATCCCTTAAATGGCTTCCTATTAACTGTAAGACAAAATGCAAACTCATTAGCGTGGCTTCCAAGGATGTCCATGATCTGCTGTAAGCTTTTATTTACAACATATGTTTCTCTCACGGGTCCCTGTTTTGAGCCACACCCCTTAGCTGCCATTCGCTTTCTCCTTCCTGAACATAGTCATGCCTGGCCCTGACTTGTGCTGTCCCTTGTGTCTGCCCAGTCTGCTTTCTTTCCACTCCACCTATGAAAAGCCCAAGTTTAAAGTCAGGTCTTGAGCTTTCCTCGAAGACTTCCTGTGCAGTTTCATATCAACCTGCACCTTGCTCAAGTGGAAAACTCAAGGTTTTTGCTTCTGTCCTTTATTATGTTTACATATTACAATCTGCTCTGTTTAGAAGGAAAGACATTGTCTTTTCAGTGTATCTAAAGATCATGATTTGAAGAGAAGTGAAAAACATGTTGAATTTTATTTTATTTTTTTGTGGATCTTTTACTACTTGAGTTTTATAGTTTCATCTTCTACATCTAATTAATTACTGACATAATGTTGAGCATAAGAAATGTGAAAGTAAATAATTTTAAATAGTAGATTCTTCCTTAATAATATCTGCACTTCTTATCCTCACCCATCCTTCTATAATTTAGGTTTTGCCTTCCTTTATCTTATCACAGCATCAGCCACATACATCCCCCTACTCTGGTTTGAAGGTCCAAATGGATTTATTTAAGGAACTTCTTATAAAGTGTATGCGTCACCTTTGGCCCTGACCCAAGAATACCTTTATAGGCAAGGACTAGGGAATTCAATATAACATGAGTGATTCTTGCCAAAAGGAATGAACCTTGAACATGACTACCATTATAAAATGTGGCTTGCAGTTTGCATGGATCTGGGAGCAGCAGGGACATGGGATGAGTAAGGATGAGAGAGATCTGCCAGACACTCTGTCTTGACAAGCAGGCATCTTGTGTTCTAAGGGATCTTCATGTCTKCCTCAGCCACTGTGGTACCCGTCACTAGTAAGACAGGCCTCACTGACTATTGACTTGCATATGACTTTTTAAAAATTACAAAGATTTGGGGCAGGTAGGCAGACTAGTCTAGACTACATGAGGAATCTAGTAAGTAAAAGAAAYAGTCAGTGTCATCTGATTTAACTGCCCCCACCCCAGCAGGGGACTTGGTCTCCTTTGTGGCATGAGTCACCGGTGGCTGTACAGTATCTGTTGACAGCTCAATTGGAGGTGTGCATATTCTCACCAGGGCAACCTCCTTTCTTCCAGAAAAACTATTCACTGGGTTTCCCCGTAAGTGGGAGCAATGGTAACTGTGCCTTTCTGTAGGGCTGAGCAGTTTCCAGGAGCCTCCTGCACTTCGGGCTTCTCTGGGGAGAGGGTTTGAGGGAATGCCCCAGCCACCTGGCTTCCCTGCCTGGCATCCTCTCAGGGCCTCAGCTGGAATATGCTGGTTCCACAGGAGAGGACCTGTGCTGGGCTTTAGGTTTCCAGTTCTGGACTCTGCTAAATGAGTCTTTGAGACATTGCCACATGTTCTGGTGGGCATATTTGGGCTCAAAGGTAAAAATCTTAGATGCATAAAAATGTCTGCTACTGGAATCTGAGCAAGGGCTCAGGTGTGGAGGGTGGAAGGACAGGGTCTTGTGCAGCCCAGAGCTCTAGTTTGTCTTTTATAAGACCAGGCTTTTGGATTTCCCTTTGGACTTTGCAATTATAAGGCTGAAACTGGCAATAGCAGGGCATGGGGTGAGTAAGAAGGAAGGATAGTTTGGCTGATTCTGTGATGACTTGGAGAGAGCCTGATTGCGTTTTTCTCTTTTCCTCTTGGAGGAAGGCAGAGTCCAAGATCCTGGGGGGAGTCCTGACACTTCTAAGGGCCTGTGAAATGCTCCTTCTCTCTCTTTCTCTTGCTGCTTTGTGGATCTAATGCAACTGCATGTAAGGAACAAGAAAGGAAATTAAAATGGTCTAGGAAGTCTATTTTTGTCTAAATTGCAAATCTAAGTATCCTTCTTTTGAGTCAGTGGGAACTTTTTTTTGGAGTTTTGCATTAATCACAGTGTTATAAGTAATTTCCCATTGAAATCTTTTTGTTTTCCTCATGCAAGCCTCACACCTAAGCTTTGCATTTGTTTTAAGGAAAGGAGAAAAGTCTTTGCATGATTGAAATAATGCATAATGCAAAATGAGAAAGAAAGAGCAATTCAGAGGTCAAYTGCACGTCCTCCCTGCAGCGGGTGGAAGCCTGGCCCTGGCAGCGGGGGTTGTGTTCAGCTGTGCACCCTGTTCTGCACAGGGAAGTGGTATAAGCAGCCACCCAGCTGCGGTTCCCACAGACCCGAGCAACAGCACTTCTGACTTCCCTTCCGTCATGGTTGGTTTTGCTGGTGACTCAGCCAGCTGTGGCTTTGGTATAAGAAACCTCTAGGTTATTACTAGTTGGAGGACTCACCCTCTTATCTTTATTTCTTGGGCCTCTAGCCACAGAAATTAATAACAACCCATTATGAAGACATGTGTGAGTGTGTTTCTCCTTCTGCTCCAGAGGAATCCAATCTGGGCCTGTTCATATTCTGCTTGGATTTGTCTCCCATCATCTTTTTCTGATGCCATAGATAAGTGGGAAGATATTTCTGGAACTTGGATTGAGTAACTTTTGGGGTCATTCTCCTTCCTGCCATGGCTAATTGTCTCTCTGTGTCTCAGTTGCAGATCTGATCTCTTCAGAACACCTCACCGTGTCTCCGTACCTGGGACTCTGAACCTAGCAGCTGGACTCGTTTGTTCTTGGAATTTTGAGTGTCCCCTCTTCTCACCTTTTCCTCTTCCCTCTTCCCTTTCCCCCACCTGAGAACTCCTGAAGACTGTAGGATTGTCATGGAGTCCCGGGAAATCTTAAGCAGCACCCGGCAGAGGGGGGGCGAGTCGGAATTCCTGCCCGTCTCCTCTGCCAAGCCCCCGGCTGCTCCTGGCTGCACAGGAGAACCCTTGCTTTCTGCTCCAGGACCTGGGAAGGGCATCCCAGGGAGCGGAGATCGAATGGAACCAGAAGAAGAGGATGAACTGGGCTCAGGGCGGGATGTGGATTCCAACTCCAATGCAGACAGTGAGAAATGGGTGGCAGGCGATGGCTTGGAAGAGCAGGAGTTTTCCATCAAGGAGGCAAACTTCACTGAGGGGAGTCTGAAGCTGAAGATTCAGACCACCAAGCGGGCTAAGAAACCCCCAAAGAATCTGGAGAACTATATATGCCCACCTGAGATCAAGATCACCATCAAGCAGTCTGGGGACCAGAAGGTGTCCCGTGCTGGGAAAAATAGCAAAGCTACTAAGGAGGAAGAAAGAAGCCACTCCAAAAAGAAGGTAGGAAGTCTGGTCTTGTACGTTTTTAGTTTGTTTCTCTCTGTTTTTGCCRTTTTAGCCCCAATTTCTTAAAAGTCTCTTTGTGTATTACTTATTATTATTTCTGAATCACCAGTCTCCTTATGGAATATTTAGGGCCTCCAATGTCTCTGGTAGGGTCTTGGTATAATATCTGGTTTATTATTATATCTTTAACTCACCTGGAAAAACAAAGAGGATAGAATTGTAATTTTGGAGCATCCTATTTATTGCCTGGTAGCCAATTAGCTGGATCAGCCAAACCCTGACAAAAGTTTGTTTGTTTGTTTTGCTTTACATTTGCATCTGGTTCCATAGTTAAGAGTGGGATGATGAAAAACTGATCCATTAGAGCAATGAAGAAATGTCACAACTTCCGTTACATTTCAATAATTAGTGGTGTTGGTCTTTCTAAGATGAATGGGTCCCCTGACTGAAGAAATCCAGACTTCTTGGTAGCTGAGGCTCCAGCAGGGCAGAATCTTCATCCTGGAAGCCACTGATGAGTGTAGAGCTGGCATTTTAGAAGGCAGAGGGCAGTGATTGGCTCAAGTCTTTGTGTAGCACATCATGGACTTTAAAAGTTGGGTCATGAATGAACTTGTTTGGTTGTCATTTTCCTATTAAGGGCAAGTACGGATATACAAGCCACTGGAGCTGGTTTGTGGTGTTGGTTGGGAATGGATGGGTCCAAGTTTCATTAATTTATCTTGGAAGTGACAATGACTTCCATTCTTGGGAGGGATGTGGCACTCAGCTATGATAGCAGAGGACTCTGCCTTAGTATGGAAAGTTCTTTTTTTTCAATAACTTGGCTCTGAGGTCGGCTCTGAAAGATGCCCTTTGGCTGGCAGAATTTGGGGGTTCTAGGTGGGAAGTGCTAGCCATTGACTTAGTCACTCTCCCCTGTCTTTTGGTCATTTATGTGGCCTTTAGTCAGGGCGGACTAGATGGTGCCAATGACAGGACCACTCAACTTTTAGCCATCCATGGTCTTTTAAGCTCTGGGATAGTTATTTTCAATAAAACCACTAGAAATAATATTAATTCTTTAGTGTAAGACTGCGTCTTTCTTCATGTCAGGTGTTTGGGCAGATTTGTTGCATTTAAAATCCAAATACATAGCCCAGAAGAAACTTTCTAGGGTAACTAACTCCTCACGGTATGCCCAATAAACCTGTTCAGGTTTTAAAACTGAAAATACTGCATTCGGGACCCTCCCTCTCACATCCTGGAAAACCAGGATAGTTGGCTCCCCTACTGTAACATTTTGAAACACAATCTTTAGAGATAGACTTGTTTTTTCCAGGGCAAAGAGATCGTGCTTTCCACTCCCCACATTACAACTTTGTAGTGATTTCTGGGTTCTCTTTAAAAAAAAAAAAAAACAAACAAACAAACAAAGGTTACCTTGACACATGCAGAAACTTTTGAGATGCTTATAAGAAGATGCCATAGGCTGTATTTAGGAAGTGAGGCATTGCTGGAGAGATTAGATGCTTTAGCTTTGAAAAAGAGTATTTTTGATTCTGGCCACTGAGATGACCAGGTCTTTGTGTGCTGTTGGATTCTTGTGTGAGGGGGAAATCTTGGAATCTGTTACTTTTGGGGGACATTTTCCATCCAATCCTCATCAGTGCTAGATTTTGAGCAGAGCCCATGGTTTTGGTTATGTAAACCCAAATTATGGCATCATAAAGATAATAAGTTGTCCTGATTGGATATGGCACCATAAAGATAATAAGTTGTCCTGATTGGATATGGCACCATAAAGATAATAAGTTGTCCTGATTGGGTATAACTTTCTTTAAAGCCACAGATTGTTCCCAAATGGCGTCTTCTGCCCGTTGGAATGCCTCAGATTAATGATTTGGAATTTGCGACATAAAGATAACTTCAAAGCTGAAATGTGCAGTGGACTGAAGTTCTCATATCTGATATCCTCAGCCTGCTAAAAACCCACTAAAAATCTAGGTGCCGTTTAGGAACTTTATTGGAAAAGAGAGATAAAATTGTTTATTTGACTATGTGATTTGCCAAGTAAACATTTCTATTCCTAAGCAATTGGAGGGAGTGGAAAAGAAGAAGGAGAAGAGCTATATTTCAATATACAATGTTATTTTGTGATGATGTTGTGATGGAAATATCTTACAGTTTTTTTATGGCTTGAAGCTTGCTTCATATTGTGTATTTCCACCCTTCCTCCATTTATTTATACCTCAGGCTGTTGCTTTCCAGAAATGAATGAATAAAGTTATCAGCATGGAGTCATAATTACTTGATAGATCATCAGAACCTTCTCTGGTCTCTACTGGATTAGAATGTTCACTTTATCACCCTTTAAATTTTTGTTGTTTTGCAACCGGAAAGTAATCAACGCTGAAGGTGAAACTTGGTCTACCATCTCTATGGAAAAGTTCAGTAGCAAGAGCTTGAACAATTTGTACAAATGGGAAGTATGTGATTAGTTAATATGGATAGAGAAAACACAAAGAGGGAATTTTGTAAGTAACAGTTCATCATCTGACCCTGAAATCAAAGCTTCTGGATCTTTTCAATGAAGTGAGCCTGCTTTTGAAGAAGCACACAGGGAGTGAGCCCTGGGAATCAACTCCCATGATAGCTCCTAGGAAGGAGGCCCTGTTGAGCTGGCCCTTGAGCTGTTTGGGATTCTTGCTTGGGAGTCATCAGCACATATGTGCTGGCGTAGACAGGGGGTGGCTGACTACGGCGCATGGTGCTAAATCCAGCCCCCTTCCTGTTTATGTACAGCCTACATGGAAAGAATGATTTTTACATTTTTAAAAGACCAGAAGAAAATCCAAAGAAGAATAATATTTTCAAATATGTTATACTTATATGAAATTCAAATTTCAGTGTCTGCAAATAAAGTTTTATTGGAGCAGAGCCAAGTCCATTTTGTTTACATTTTGTCTACAACTGCTTTTGAATAGAGTAGCAGAGTTGAATAGTTGTCACCAAGACTCTATGGCCTGCAAAGCTTGAACTATTTACCATCTGGCTCTTGTAAAAAATGATCATCAAACCTTCTCTTAAGGGAAGGCATAGAGTTTTAGGATAACAGCAGTTTTATCTTATTTTGTTTTGTTTTTAATGATTCAGCTTCCAAGTTTGGAGGCTGGGAGAAACTGGGTGTTACTGTGTGTGTGTGTGTGTGTGTGTGTGTGTGTGTGTTTAAGTGAACCAATTAATTTTGTTCATATGATTGTTTGACAGCCTCCAGCAAAGACAACTTATATTGAATCCCACATGATTTTCTTTTTCATTGGTTTTTGTAAAAAGAAAGCTCTGTGGGAAAATGTTAGTATGACTTACATATCACAAACTAGTTCTCTGCTAAGTTAACTCCAGTTATATGTGGTCTGCAGCTTTGGAGTGAAGGGGTATTCATCTGGCATCCTCTAAATCTTTATTCCAAATTTCCATCTCAGGATTAACCCTCCAAACTAGAGAGGCATTGCAGATATTCAGGGAGCATGAACATTTTAAGTGGTAGGCTGTAGGGACAGACCCATGAAAATGCCACCTCACTAGCTCAGGGATGCATGGATTTTTCTAACTAGGGTACCAGTCTCCTCCTTTTGGTAGGAAATTAGGATGGCAATTGAGATCCTCTTTGGGAGAGGGTTTATGATGAATGGATTAACATAGGGCATGAAAGAAGCATTTGGTAGGAAATAGAAGCTGAAAAGAGCTCAGAAAATACTTCAGGACTTTGCAGATGAACTGTACACGTGCATCTTGTTCTTTGCATCTTAAACTTACTTAGGTAAGTTCCAGAATAACTTATGCTTATTCTAATTCCCTTCTGGGTCAGTCAGTGAATATAGCAGAAGTAATGAGGATGCATATCTATAAGCAAGTGCCGGTACCAAAAAAGAGCATAAAAAGTTCTAGCAGTGACAGTGTTTTGAGGATGTCCTCAGCTGGGCAGAACTTGGTAGCTCTTCTTCTTCTTGAAGACTATGGTAGCTAGTTTCTATAGCAAGAGATGGGGAGGAGGACCTTGATGGGGTTTTGGGAATTTGGATGTGCAGTGTAACCTTGCCAAAGTCCGGATTCTTCATCTGCCAAATAGAGATGGTACTTTCTCCTCAATGGAAGATTTCAGGAAAAATAAATAGCTAATTTTCTTCTGCTGTGAGCACAGATCATAATAACAGACTTAGTTTATTCAGCTGTATGGTAGGCCTTCTGCTAAATGTTTGACATGTATTCACCTTCTCAATTAATCCTTACAACAATCCTGCTGGGTGGATATTATTTATTTACAGATGAGGAAATTGAGGCTTAGTTTGCTCTAGAGGAGCAAGAGCCAGACTGGGCAAGGTTTGTCTTTGAAGCTAATTCTGTTAAGACTACAAAAATAATTCAGGTCCTTGCACTCTGTAAAAGTAAATGACCACTGGAAGGTAAGGATCACTGGAGCGTGTCTGCCACGCTTTCCCACCTTAGCTGGAGCGTTTGCATCATAATCTGACACATTTTCCTTAATTCCAAGAGTTTCAGGGTGTTTGAGGGGACTCCAAAGCCAATGACTTAAAATCTTATTTTTTTCCTTTATAGGGTTTATAATTTTTGTGTGTGTTTGTGGTACTGGGAATTACACCCTGGGGTGCTTTACCGATGAATCATATCCTCAGCCCTTTTTATTTATTTTTTTTATTCTGAGACAGGGCCTCACTAAGTTGCCCAGGCTGACCTTGAACATGGGATCCTCTTGTCTCAGTCACTAGAGTATCTGAGATTATAGATATGCACCTACCTTGCCGAGTTTAGAAAATTTATTTATTTTTGACAAAACCACAACTTCTGTTTTATTTCTTTGAACTAATTTTCCCTCCTGGCTAGCTCTATTGGGAGAAATCATCTCCTCCAGTAGCAAGGACTTCCATCTCTGTCCATGAAGTATCTGTTGAAGTTGGAGACATAGCTCAGGATTTGTCCATGGCAACCCCATT